TGGGGTCTGCCACGCCTCCTTCTGCCTGTTACATGGGTATAATGGGTTCAGGGTATAAAAAGTGCGCAAAACGTTTTGTACCTGTCCGGTCTATGTGCTCTGTGGTTAGCAACCCCCGTCCAAATGAATGGCCCGACGGAGTTGGTCGAGTTGGCATGACATTTGTCATTTATATACTCTATAGGAGCGGTCATACATTCTTCTCTAGGTTCATGTATTTGCACACCAGCATTATACAATAAATTATCATTTTTAATAAGTTCAAGATATAGGAAGGTATCGAAAAATTGAAAGCCAACGCCATTTGGATCTATAAAAAATATTTTCTGTGTAGACTAAGACAAACTCTGACTTACATCCACGGAAATTGTCATGGAACCTTTATTAGCCACCATGCTCAAGTCCATGTCCTTATCCATGGCAACGCTGACAGGAGTTAGGCAAGTGCTTGCCGGCTCTGCTTCATCGCGGACGTTCAAATATATGTCGCTAATAGTGCTGGACAGTGGGAGTGCGTCTTGGTTCATCGGTTCAAAACAGCGCAGCTCATCCCACTCATTCAGTAGAATATTCACATTTCTTTAAATATTATACAAGTAGTGAAATATGTAAGATCAAAAAGAAATACACACCTGTTGAGCTGCTCCGTATCTTCTTTCTCTGGCCGCGGTGTTGTCAGCATTTTGTCCTGTGTTTGCTGTTTCCAAACTTGTTTGCAATTCATTGGCGTCGTGTTTTCAATTGTTTAAGTTGTTAGTTTTTTGAGTACATAGTATTAAGGAGAGAGAGAGAGTAGAAACAAACGCAGGATATTGTACGCCGTAGTCAGAGACTTTCCTAGTGGCGACGAGCTGAATGAGGTCGGTCGAAATAATGCATTACATACGAGACGTAAAGTAATGCATTACCTAGCATTAATGCATTATCAGCGCATTTTTAATGACCAAAATTAAAACGACTACTCGTACGAAAGAATCGTGCTGTTGTCTACTTCGTTTCTGTATGCCCCTTCCCCTCTAATAAACAAACGATTTTCGTCTTCGTTTGGTTTCTTTATCTATGCCTATTCCATTTGTGCGTATAGTGTTAATGTATACATATGTACATATGTGACACGCCACTTTTCAGATTTTATTGTGCTGTGTGGACGTAATTTTGAAGGAAGGTATTTCGCAGTGAGTTATAAATATAAATATGCTCTATATGGTATGTATAAATCCTCTTACTTTTATCTTTAATGACAAAAAATTAATAATGTTTAATTAACAGATGCTATTAAAACCGAAGCATTCAAAAAGGTAGGCTGGCGAAGCAAAAATTTTAGAACAAAAAAATTAAACAATACATGAATATGTAGTTATGTAAATATAGACTAAGTGAATTTAGATTTTAGGAATGTAAATAATTTTTAGCTAAGACTATATA